CTGTGAGTCGGAGTCAACTCGAGAGCAGAGGCTTTGGCTGTGGGTTTGGGTATTTCTGGTTCTCTTCCCCTGCTCCGTTCTGTACTCTGAGCTACATTTCTCAAGCTCCCTTGCTCTTCCTCTTTCAGGCTAGGTCCAGCCAATGGGAGGCCCCAGTGGGAGCTCAGAGGGCAGGAGGAGGGAAGAAGCCGGGGTATTTCTACCCCATGCGCGTCTGCGTCTCCAGCCCCTCCCTCCATGGGCAGCTGCAGTTTCTGTCTGGGGTGCCCCACCACCCCTAATTGGCCCCAGCTGCCTGCTGTTGATAATCTCTGGAGGCCTCACCATGCGTGTGTGGCTCCCTGGCTCATCAATCACCTGTGTGACCAATTCCCAGCATGTACTTATCCCAGTTTGAAAGGTCTGCAGAGGTTCCAGTTTCTTGGCTTGGCTGACGCACGGTAGCTGATGCTTAAAGTACCATGCAGATGCAGAGGCCCTGTCCTCGCCTCTTATCGGGGAGCAAGCATGTTCAGTATAGGCTAATGGTCTCTGAACCAGGAGATGAGGCAGGTTCAGACCCAGGGCTGGTAGGTTCCAGAGTCTGCCTTCTTTCCTGCAGTGTTCTGTTCCATTAACTTAGTGCCACGGCCCTGAAGGTTCACAGTCGCATATCTCATTTCAATCCTATCCTGACTCTACCGCTTCCCAGACAGGTCATTTAATCCTGCTGAGCCTCAGTTTCCTTCTCTGTGAAGTGGGGAGAGCAGTGCTGACCCCGCAGAAGTACCTTGAGGTTTAAATAAGGGCACACTCCCTGTCAGTGCCCGGTATGTCACAGCACGTCACAGCTCCGTTCGCTGTGGCCCATCCTTATCACCCCTGGAACCAGCCCGGGTCCAGACCTTCAGCTTTGCTTCATCAGGGGAGATGTGGGTGATGATTGGTTCAGCTGGGGCGTCGTCATTTGTAAGCTGGGCGTCCATGAAGTCATCCATTTCTTCAGTGAACACACTTTAGCGCCCATCTGTGCCAGGACTGGGCTGTGGGGCGGGGAACCACAGATGAATAGGGCCATGAGATGTGGGCCAGGGATTGTAATGGAAGGTGAGTGGATGCCGTGAGCAAGACAGTCACTGTCTGGGGAGGGGTCCTGTCTGAACCTCCTAGAGCTGCAGTAACAAAACACTACAAAGTGGACGGCTTGAAGGACCAGAAATGTATTCTCCTAGTTCTGGAGGCTGGGGGTCCAAGTTCAAGGCCTCGGCAGGGCTCTTGCTCCGGTGGCTCTGGGGGGAGGTTGTTCCTTATCTGTCTGCTTCTGTGGCCCTGGGCGTCTCTCGGCGCTCCTTGGCTTGAAGCTGTATCTTCACTCGGCGTCTTCCCCCCGTGACTCTGTCTTCCCCTTTGATGATGCACCACCCAGACAGGATGAGTGCCCACCGTCCTGCCATGTCTTAGCTGACAGCATCTTCGAAGAAGGACCCTATTTCCAAACAAGGTCATGTTCCAGGTGCAGGGCTAAGAGTGCAGTGTACCTTTTTGGGGGACAGAGTTCAGTCCATAACAGGTCCCAAGAGGGACTGGTTTTCCTCTGACACGGAGGGGCACTGGTGGCTGCCTGGAGGAGGCGGCACGTTCTCCAGGAGGAGCTGTTCTCGTTCAGGGTAGTCTGACCACTGGCTGGTTTGAATCTCGAGCAAGTGGCCTGGGCCGTCATTATCCTTTCTACCCTCAGGATGCCCACCTCCGGACCAGGTGGAGTCCACAAGGGCGCGGGTGAAGGGCACAGGCTCTGGGGCCAGCCTACCTGGGGTCAGGTCCTGTCCCCTCACTGAGTAACCTTGGTGGCGGACTTGAGTCCCATGCCTCAGTTTTCCCATCTCTGAAACAGGGAGGAAGATAGCCCCACCTCACAGGGTTGTTGGCAGAGCTGAGGGGTCAGCCACGTGGTGTCACCTGACTCCAGGGGGCTCTGGCCCTGACTTCCTGGTTCTTTTCCCACCCGCAGCCGCCACCTTCATGGAACACTGGAAGCGGAAACAGATGCGGCTGAACTACCGCTGGGACCTCACAGGCTTTGAGGAGGAGGAGGTCAGTGTGTCCGGCACTGCGTCCGCCTCTCGTGCCCCCTCCCCGGCCCCTAACCCCTGGGACTCACGCGGAGCCCATGTCATAAAGTGCCCCAGGTCTGGAGCGAAGGCACGCCACTCCTGTCCGTGCCACTTCATCTCCCCCATGTGCCAGACGCCCTTCGCTTCCAGGGCAACTGGTTCATGTTTTTGATGTCGGCCCTGACACGGACACACCACCCACCAGCATGGCCACAGACACACACCAGGGCTTCCAGCACTGAGCTCACCACGTCTGCAGGGGCTGCTGGGCTCGGTCTGGGCAGACAGGCCTTGTGAGGGACCGATGCCGCCCCAGGTGGTCCCCAAAGCGGCCACGAGCGTTGGCCCCACAGGTGCCAAACCGTGCTCCTCAGAGCCAGCTTTCTGCTCGTATTCGGGCGTGGCTGGGAAGTGGACACAGACCCTGTCCTACTCCAGAGGGGACTGAGCTGGCCATCTTTGTACCCCAAGAGCAGCCGCCCGGTGTGTTCTTGGCAGCGAGCGGCCGTGAACCGTCTCCCCGGGATTCCATGCTACAAGCGTTGCCACTGCCCAACCCTAACTGCCACTTCCGTCAGGAGGTCCCCCTCGAGTGAGTGGGAATGAAAAGGAACAGTGGTTCCAGGAACAAAGCAGCTCAGGGCAGAAGGCCCAGCCTCCAGGCTATGCCTTCAAGTGTCACATGATCTTTGAGAAACTCCCAGTGCATCTGAACTGTAACATGAAAATCATTCCCATCACTTTTTTTAACATTGTTCCCGTAGTCCCCACGCCCTCTAGTGTCCCAACCATGGCTGAGTGGGCTGGCCACTTGGAAGCCAAATGTGTGGTTGGCTCAGAGAAGCCAGGGATGCCAGCTGTAATAATCTGATTAGGACCCGACACAGCAGCTTAGTGGTGACAGGACCAGGCTCTGACTGTGTGACCTGGAGCCTGTTGCTTAACCTCTCTGTGCCTCAGTGCCCTCGTCCTCCAGAGGGATGGAGAAACAGCCCTCGCTTGGTCAGGTTTGGGGCGGGGTTCTCCACGGGTGACTAGATCTCAAGCACAAAGGGGCTGCCCGACCAGCCACCTCTGGGCCACACCTGTCCCTGCCCGAGTCTCAGCCTGCCTCCACACAGGGCTTGTTAGCCTGTTTGACAGATGAGGAGCCCAGACCCATGTAATGTGTCTGCGGACACACGGCTTTTCCTGGGGGAAGCCACAGTGAACCCCAGTGCTGTCCTTAGTGGGCCCATCCTCATTCAAGGGGCTTTGAACAGAGCAAAGCAATCCTGGTTTTATTACTCCAGAAATTCACTTACACTGCCCTCTCTGGATGTCCCTGTGGCTGGGGGACTGTGGGGAAGGGGCCCTCCCTTTCTTGGACCCCTGGGGACTCGTCCTGAGACACCCTGACCTTGACTTGAGTGCTTGATTTTGGCGTGGTGATCGCAGCCATTGAGCACGCAGCCCCGAGGCCTCTTCTGTGGTGTGAGCCTCCCCTCACAGCCCCTCCAACCAGAGCCCTTCTTTAGAATTAGTGACCTGGGATGAAGGGGTCTGCCCTCATAGAAGTCTGAAGCTCAGTATTTTGTTCCTGAAGCAGGAGGGAGCGTGCCGAGTCAGTGACTGTCACTCAGGAGTTTCCAAAAGCGTTGAAGCACCACCTCTCACAAAGACATTGAATAAGCCCCTGGCCTCTCCCTGTCCCCCAAACTCATTAACCTTGATCATAGTGATGAAGGCAGTGACCTTTACAGAACATAGCCCGTGTCTTGGAGACCCTGAGTGGTGCAGAGGGTTAAGCACTCGGCTGTTAACTGAAAGGTTAGAGGTTCGAGTCCAGAGGTGCCTTGGAGAAGGCATGGCAGTCCACTCCCGAAAGATCAGCCGTTGAGAACCCCGCAGAGTGCACTTCTGTCTGACCCACTGGGGGGCTGTGAGTGGGGGTGACTTGCCAGCGCCTGCTTGGCCTGTGCCTTAAAAACCAATATAAGTAATGAAATCTTTTTGTTTCTGTCTTTATTGTCCTGGTTTCCCAAAGGAGGCAGTCAAGGTTTGGAAATTTTTGTAACTCCTCTAGCTTTCCGTAGCCTGTCTCCTGGGAAGAGGGGCCTTCTCTCACGCCTTGCCCGTCCGTTCCTGCTGCAAAGGTCTCTGCTTCTCCCTCACCTCCGGGTCTCTCTTAACCCCCGTTCTTCCCTTCTAGCACCTCCCTCTGACTTGCTCTGGTGCCTCTGGTCTGCCCATGCTTGCTCACACTTACTACCGGCCGTTCTGACCCCCACGGCTCCTCCATAGGCCCTTGTCCAGGGCCGGTTCACGACTGGGTGTTCACAGGAAGTGGGGCCCAGGGGCTCCATGGCTGGGCACAGATGGTTCACCTCTAGGACTGGAACCCAGATGCCCTGGCCTTCCCACTGGGCGGGGGTTCCCACCCTGCCCTCCCGGGGAGAACCCCAAGCCACCACCCTGACTGAATTTGAGGAGCTCTGAACTAGACATGCGATGCACAGCCAGCCATGAACTGGCCCCACTTCCCACCACCCATAAGGCCCCATGGTAAACACGTGCACTTTCTTGCCAAGGGTGCCCACGCTGAGGACTTCAGATGCGTGCGTACTAGGGCCTTCACTGGAACTGGTTTCTCCTACAGGACCATCCCAGAGCCGAATACGAGGCCAGAGTCTTGGAGAAGTCACTTAGGAAAGAATCCAAAAACAAAGAGGTATGGTGCTGGCAGCCAGCTTGTTTTCCCAGCCCGCAAAACATTGCGTGTTCATTGACAGTGCAAAGTGGGGGTCAGCAAACTTTTTCCGTAAAGGGTCAGACAGCTCATGTTTTGTTGTTGTTGTTGTTGTTGTTGTTGTTGTTATGTACCGTCTAGTGGGACCCGACTCATAGTGACCCCTCCTTGGGTTTCCGAGGCAGTATCACTACGGAAGTAGATTGCCCCATCTTCCTTCCGAGGAGTGGCTGGTGGG